CCAAACTGGTAAGGCTAACAAGTTGGTTGCCAATGCCGTCTAGACGCCTATGGCAAATGGATATGCGATTAGCACATGCCTGATTGGTACTAAGTCAGCAGGCAGGATCAAAAGGCAGAGATCATCAACGTGACTGCTGGCACTGGGGCTAGGTCTAGTCTAAGGTTAGCCTTATGATTTTGGTGTAGACCAAAATCAAATTGTTGTTGTCAATGCATTTTATGCATAATTAGCTAACCAGCGACAGTGACGACGACGACCACAGCAAGCTGACCAACAGCAGCGGAAATTAAACGCACTGAAACGTTTCGAACATTACGTTTTGGCCATGTTGTGTATGCTGTAGTTGTTGTTGTTGGCTGTTATGGCCAGTTAGCGTGACGACCAAAAAAGGGCGGAGCAGGAGACGGCAGCAGACCTGCATTTGAAATGTTTGCTGCCAGAGAGGATGTTGCTGTTGTGCCTTCTGATCAACTACGCAGCAATATCAACACTTTATTGCTGTTGTTGTTTTTGTTGCTGCTTTTTTTTTTGTTGTTGTTATTGTCTGTGATTTATTTTGACCACGTACATATGCAAAACGCATTCTAATGGAACAACAGCAACAGCAACAGCAGCAACAGCAACAGCAACAACAACCACTCTGCCTACGTTTGGCCATTGCGCATTGTAATTTGTAGTTACGCTCTGATTTTTGAGTTTCATTTGTAGATTCACCTGTTGCCGTAGATTGTACATTATAGTTATTGTTATTAATGCTATTGTTGTTGTTGCCGTTGCTATTGTTGTTGCCACTTGCACGCTTCCCTGAAGCCCTACGGCGCTTTGTAGAATGAACCGATTTTCATTGTTTGGCTTTTTGTTTTGCTTGCTGTCTGTTTGCCTGTTTGTCTGTGTGGGGCATCTAAAAACGGAAATGCCGCTTTTGTTGAACGGAAATGCAAATGATATTATGTGTAGACATTACCGGGAATTGTGCGAGAATTGCTTTTGGTTGGTTTTACATTACCCAAGCATACAGCACAGCTAGCCAGAGCCTATCAATTACAAAGTGAAGGCTCGTAAAAGTGACTTAAGGTACTATGGAGTACCTTGCAATTGAAAAGTATCTTTCAGTGTGTTGTTAAAGTAGTACATCCACAGAACCTTGCATTGTTCATTTGGCTCTGCCCATGCAAAGAGCATTTTTCTTACCTACAGCAAACTGAATTTCATTAGGCCAGCAACAAAAAAGCCGTAGGTTTCCCAACGCCCTTGCATCTAACAGGCAGCAATAGTTGACAACAGCAACAGCATGAGGCGTCTAGGAAGTGCAGATGCCCAAGCCCGATGTCGCCAGAGTTACGACTACAAACTCCATTTGCCGAGGCGTTCAGACGTTCAGCAACTAAAGACGCCCACTTGGTGAATATTTTGTTGTCGTTTTCTGGTTAGGCGTAGGAGTGGTGCCGGAGCTAACTGAATACGTGATAGAGTTACTGCTCCTATAAGAGAGCATAAATATGTGGCAAAGCAAGATATTAAACACAATTCGAGGGCGTTTTCTGTTAAGAAAGTGTTTAAATTTGACATTATCAATTATGAATATGCATTTTATGGAGGTATAAATATTTGTATATATGTCATTCTTTTAAAATATTTATATTAAAATATTGATATTTTAGTCAAGTTATCCGGTTTGAGTTGTCCTATGCTCAGTTTGATTAAAATCGCTTTATTTATTTGTTTTCGATAAAGAAATGTAGAACTACAGTACAGTTTCCAATATAATTTGGGGTTAGCTAAACTGCCGTCTGATATGCTACAATATTTGTAACATAAATTTGCACAGTTCAATTTGAACGGTTTCTTTCATTTTAAAAGTCTTTATCGGCTTTACACACAACTTAGTATTCGTGAAGCTCACGGAACTTAATGAATTAAAATACATACGAAAAAAACAATGTTTTTCTTACAAATTCGTAAGTTTAAAAATACTTAAAAGCTTGGAACAGCCTTTAACTTTCGATGTACATTAAATCTACTTTTAAATCGGAAATGTGGTGATGAACATTTTAGAAGTTGCATTTGAGTTTTTTGGCTTTATTTTCTTCTCTAGAACATTTTTTAAACAAAGGCAATATGTCATTTTGGCCGAAGCATTGCATTAACTTAGGTATTCGAAGAAATTTGATGAAATCTAGTGTAAGATAGTTTAGAGCGGAGGTGGAGCAATAAAAGCTTTCGATTCATTTTTCTGCGAATGTGGTCCGCTTCACCTGGGATATAAGAGCATATTTGACGTGGAAGTGAACTAGTTGTCGCATGAAAGTCGAACCGCTCACTTATCTTTCGCATTCAAAAAAGTTAAAAATTGTTCTAATTACCAATTAATTTGTTTATAAAATATAATAATAATAAGCCATCGTAAGTAATTTGAATATTGCCCTTTGACAAAACCTTTGCATGAGCTAAATAATATGTGCTGTTTTTTTAAAATAAAATTTATATTGTATATATATATAGTTGCCACGTTAATGGTTAATGTATTTACTATAAATTAATATAAAGTGATAGTGGTACATATTATTTAAAATTTCTGCAAAATAATACATTATTAATTTGAAAAATAACCCATGAGAACAGAATTAAAAATATAACGCCTCACATTCAATAAACAACTCCATGAGAAATTCAACATTTGGCTAAGAATGTCAACAGAATAGAAGTCTATGTATATTTTTCATGTATGTCTAGCTGGTTCAAAATATTTTGAAGAACACCTGGACACACTTTTAGTCATAACAGGAGAAACTTCTATATGTTGTCTGCCGAAGATTTAATGCCCTTGCCAAATCAAAATTTAGCTCTGTCTATCTACTTGAAAATAAGTTGGAGATATGCCAAATTTATATACCTGTTTATAGAGTATTTTATTATTGTTTAAAGTTTGCAATGCATTGAAGATGACATCTCCGAATGGCAACTCTAACCGATTCAATATAGGCATTTCCGAATGACTGAATTCAATATTTAAATATTGAGTTCACAGTAAAGCGTGAAATTAGAAATCCTATGAATAGAATTTGCTTAAAACTTACAAAAATAAAATAATATTTTAAAATCCGAGCAAAAATGTATGTCACCAGTTTATTATAGAAAGGTGTGTAATCTTCGTCGTGCCTAAGATAACCTCTCTTTCTTGTTTTTAGTAATTAGTAATTACTAACTTCTGAAAACGATAGAAATGAGCAACTATCACTATAGTGCGATCTGCAACCTTCATTCACATACTCCTGAGATGTTCATTCGATATATGTACAAGCATGTTCTTAAGCGTTGCATGTTGCGACAAAAAGTCTGAATACCGTCAATTGATACATACACATTTGGCTATTCAATTTGGTTATTTTATTGGGGTGCATGGCCTATCAAACATATTCGCAAACTGCATAATTTACTCTGTTTTCATGTTCCATTTGTTAGCACAGCAGCGTAAATTTGCATACAAAAAATATTGGCAAATTCAAAATCGCTATATAATGGACCAATGTTTCCACCATACGATATTCAGTCCAATTTACTGGCATCGAGATGAGAATTAAGAACGGCGGTCCTTGACTGTGTCATTGTGGCCGCTTGGCTTATAAGAAACAGTAAAGCCACATGAGCGGAGCTGCAACAAACTCGGCTGACGTAAGTTGCAGAACAACACTGGTGTCAATCGCCGCTCTTGTATCGATTGTACTGGCCGCTATTGTTGCGTCTGTTGTCGCTGATGCCGTTGCACCATGCGCTGTGGCACCACGGCAGCAGCGACGGCAAACGCAACAGCGGCGGCCCCTTCAAGCGATGCAACAGCGGCGACTAGCACTGATGCGGATACAACGCACGATTGTTCGCATGAGGACACGGAGGAGAAGGAGGATGGCCACTAGCCAGCTTATTTTGTTGCACAACTTGCTTATGCGGAGTTGCCTGCTTCTAATAAGTCAAATGGCCAAAATGGCACAGCCAAGGACCGCCCATATTAATTCTCACAAGAGGAGACTTACTGCGTGACGTGCTGCTTCCGCTGCAGGATGACATGTCACAATCACACACGCAGGAACAGGAACCGGCATAAAAGCAGAACCATCCGTGCTGCTAATAGAATAACGAATGGAAGGAACAGATTTTAAGCTTCAGCAATTACCTCCTGAAATAATTAAAATAAATTTGTATATTGCATTCCAAAAACATTATGGATTATCCTTTTTTTTTCTCAACTCAAGCCAAGAACGTTCCAATTAGGCGTGGTTAAGCTAGGGCGGTTTTCTGCATGATGGGAAGAGAAAAACTCACTTGAGACAAGTTTGACTCATTCACAATGAGACTGCATGGACTTCAACTCCTTCTGCTCTTTTCAGCGCAACTCTACGTCACTAAACTCGAAGCACCGTGTTACATCTTAAGTTTACATAGCCTGATGGTTATATCGAAGAGGTGCGATATATTTGCGAAGAAGGGACACCCAATAAATGTTAGTCGTCTCCTGCTTAGGACCGAACAATGACGGAGGACGTCTGCACCAATTTTGTTTCAATTAAAAAATGTACATCTCAGAGCCATTCAATGCTGTTGGGTTAGCTTAACTGCCGTGGAATATGTTACAATATTTAAAAGTTACTTTGCACACCTAAAATCATGCAACAAAATATTTTGAGAAGGCTTTATACATTTGCCCTGAAGTTTGCAACGCATTGAAGGAGACATCTCCGCAGATATATTCCTGATCAGTATCACTATCCGACTCGATATAAATATAAAATATATGTATGACTCTCAGTTCACAGGTTCCTCTGAACAAAACTCCCTCAGTTGTAATACTTTATGCTTTGTATATATCCTTATTTTTAGCTGAGAACCAACCTTATCGAATCATTATATCATATAGCTATCATAGCTGATGTAAATAATTGTTCTCGTATGAAAAAGTATTTTTCTTACCAAGATATACCAAGATACATAAACGCACGAAATAGGCACGAAATGTTATTATATTCGTCACATTTGGTCAAAAATTCATCATCATCGGATTAATATGTCCTATGGCTTTCAGGGGACCAATCGATATACCTCTAGTCATACATGTTATCGTACAAAAGGTAAAAAAAAAAACAAAATAATATACATAATCCGGACTAAAGCTTAGATGTCGGTATGTTAACTTTGATTTACAAGCGTAGGTCATTTTTAGAGTGCCAAAGCTATTCGTTCCTTCTGGTTTTAAATATGAATTCATATTATTAAACATTTCATAATGATATTGTATATTGTATTTTGCATATATATATGTAAATATGTTGCATTAATTAGTATTTTAAAATCGTTTCAAATATTTATATAAATAAAGTGAATATGATTTCTTTTTAATTTGATATTTTTATCAGATGCATAATCATATTTAAATATTGATGTTTGCTTTGGCAATATTGGTGTTGATTTCATTTAAACGTTTTTCAAAAATTTGTACATTTTTAAATGCTGTTTACTTTAATTCTTTCTACTTTGCATTTAGGACAGATGTTTTGATCGCAACCACGAAGCGTTTCCTGGTCACTTAAGCCAGTTGCTGGTCCACAAATGAATTTATATATGTGAATATATGTAACAATTTTCTTGTGGTTTCTTAATTGAAATTCCTAAAAATAATTCCGGAAATGAGGCCATAAGTAATTCTCATTATTGCCAATTAAGTAATATCGAAACTGCTTTTCAAAAGCTAAAGTTTAAGTAATTCCGCTAGGAAACTGTCCAGTCTTTACCAACTGCTTCTTTGTCCTGCTAATAGAAGGAATTGGGACTGGGACTACGAAGAGGCGAAAGCTTGCTGAGTTTGCAGCTGACATCTAAGTTGGGCAGATTCTGAGTATTGCGGCAAAAGCGATTCCAGCCCTTCCAATATTTAAAACCATCGCGTTGTTGTATGGTCTTTGCACAGGCAATATCATCCGAAATATCATCGTTAGACAGATCTAAATAATCACAAATTAATGGAGATCTAATAAGATTGCTTAATTTCTCAACCAACCTTCACACTTTATATTGCACAATCCTCCCCTGCGTCCCTCGGCACAATAGTCCTTGCTGTTGATTTGGAACAATCCATAGTTCTTGCTATTGTTCTCATTTCTAGTCACCTTATTGGTATCCAAAGAACTCTCATGCTCTACAAGGCAGATCCCTAAATTGTTGGGGCATTAGTTATCAACTCGATAAAATTGCATTTATGCATGTAAAACTTACAATTGGACATTAGCGTCTTTTGGAATCTATAGTTCTCCACCAGCACACGGGTCAGCTCGCAACGCATATACTGCTTGGACTCCACAAGTTCTCCACTCATCAATAGGAAGAGAGGCATCAGTAAAGCCAATATCCGAACATTTGGAGTTTTCAACTCAGGCGACATTTCTGACAAGAATCAATTGGTTTGAAATGGCGTATTTAAATATATACATATGCATTATGTACGTATTTGTTTGCATGTATTTAAATGTAGATGAAATTCATTCGTTCCACGAATGGGTGGTTGATAAGCACCGCGCCGAGTGCGACTAATTAAAAATGGGCATTCATTGTGTCTATACACGAATAGACAACAAGTTCAAAAGGGTAGCTAGGTGCATCCATACACACTATCGCAAAGGTTTTCGAGTCGCTTGGATACGAAAAATTCACACCTAACTTAAAATGTATACTTTTTATCTAGCTCTTCTTTCCATCTCCAAGCTATCTAATCTGCACATCTGATAGTACTTTTTTTAAGGCACAAAAATAGGTGTTGATATTGACACGTCTAGAAGAAAGACTTCTATGCCGTGGCTCTGACTAATTCACGTCAGACTCTCCCTTATACAAAATAACAAAAATATATTCTGTATTGTTATTGCTAAGATTATAGCGTATGCAAACATCTCTGTAGCTGAAGACAGGTATTCTTTTATTGTTTTTAATACACCTTTTTTTGGTCTCCAACCGTACAATATTCAGCTGACAGTCTGACAGTTTTAACTGGCATCTTTAAGTGCCTGCTTAATTAGCACTTTGAATACAAATAATAATAATAATTTAAGCCATTTTCAAATATATGTTTTTTGAATTCTATTTAAACTCTTTAGAACTGCTGCTAAGTAAACAATAGTTCAATGAAAGAAGAAACCTGTCAGTAACTTTTTTTGAGCTATTGGTCTTGAAGAGGAATTTTGTTGTGGAATTTTACTTGGAAAGATGTATGCTTGGATGACAACAAGAATATAAAGATCTTGTGAGAGCTCAGTAGGCAAAGGAAGTTTATATATTTCAATTTGTCACCCGATTAAATACACGCTTAAGCTGTTATTAATTCGCAACTATTTGACTTATGTTCTAAAAATAGCGGCTAATATCTGCTATAATTTATGACTATTTTATTAAACGATTGTTGAGTCAAATTGTATATTTTACTTGCCACCGAACTCTGAATTAAGTACTAAGAAATATGAAATAGAATTGTTGCAAAAATCACGTAGTCAAGGCTGTGATGATCACATAAATAGGAATTCAATATCAGTAAATATTCATTCCTGTTTAAAACTAGGCAGTATACGAAGAGCACAATTTCCAGACCTACCCTCATCATTCAAACTATCATTCATCTGATCAATTAATATCGACAGCATATAAATATTTTTTAAACACTGTAATTTACAAGAACACGTGTAAAAATGTAAATCACTATTATTATTCGCAGAACTGAAGGTCTAGTCACAAGTGCTCTTACTTGTGTTATTAATATTATTTGGATATTAATGTATATTAGTTAATATTCATAATGAAATAGTAAGAAAAAATTGTATTAAGCTGCCGGAATGGCTAAACATTCTTTATTTATTATTTCACAACATTTCCCAATTGTTCGCCAATGTTTTGCATACCAAATTTTTGGCAAAAAACGCTTGTATGGCTGTGCGCTGTTTTGACTGGATTACAAAGTAATTACAATGTTTACCTCTGTTAATTAACTGAACGCAATACAGCAGACAAAACGCGATTCGACGCGACAACAAAAACTAGTTTCAACACGATTGCGATACGAATACGAAACGAATACGAAAGCGAAACTGAGTGCGAGTGTGAGTGCGATTGTCTGAGCAGCAGCTGTGTCTTCTTTTGTATTCGAGTTGTGTCTCTGCTTTATTCAAGTAGTTAATTGTTTTCAATTTTTAGCGTGAGCTGGCGCTTCACATGTGCGGCACTGCTGGCCCCCACACTGATACTAAAAAATTCAAATGTTTAAATATTCTTACGTAGCGCTACTGCCCAAAGCAATCGCTCGGACTATAATGAAGCTCTGCTCTCGTCATATATGGGTTTTTATACTGGGAGAGAATAATTTGCGCTCTATCTCTGTACTTTATATATATTATATTTGTTGTTAGTGATTGGATTTAGTGATAAGCTATACCGTAATATTCTCTGTGGCATGCCCATAACGAGACACTCACTGAGCTTACTTGTCTTTGCATACAAAATCCAAATTGCCTTTCACTTATCAGCATGCATGTAAAATGTACTTTATCTGCATGTTTATTATGAATGCATATTTGCAAACAAGTTAACAATCTTTAGTAGGATCGTCTCGATTGCGATATATTCGGTTGCAAGTACGTTGGACAAACCTTCAGAATTTATGTAAGTTTTTTTGCGATGAAAAAATATCATATTTCTTTAAGATAATTAGTTGAATTTACTTAAAGAGATTACTGATGTTGCAGAAATATATTTTGTGTACTCATTCAGAGATGTCAACAGAAGTTTGCATGTAAGAATTCAGAACTTCAGCGTTTAGATTAAAAATATAACTTTTATTGATGTCCTAAGGCGGCAGATGGCTTGGCAACTGACTTGGAACCAAAAACATATGAACCCTACTTAAACGAATGGGAACTGCGCAATTATTTAATATAATATATAAGTTGCATAATTAACAGGTCAATCAAATATGTGTATGTACTTTTAATAGCAAAACTGATAATAAATTCTTGGAAAATGTAATCTGGAATACATTTATTAACAATGTATGTTTGTGTGTATGCATATGCGTAAGATTTACTGAATTGATAATGCGAGCGAGTCTTACAACTAACAGCTAACATATATGCCTAGGACTAAACAGCTAGCACTAAAGCATCAGCTCTGTAAGCCAAGTTAGCAACGCGACACATCGGGCAGCGTGCGCCCGCGACATTTGCTCATCCATCCTGGCCAGGCTTGGAAACCATGGCGATTGAAGATCTGCATGGCGCAGCGAGAGTCATCAGAGATTTCATCGTTCAGGAACTCTAAGGAGAGAGATGTGTTTTAACTATTTATTTGGCTTTACATAAATATATGTTGGCTACCTTCACATTTTATGTTGCATATGCCACCGCGGCGACCCTTGCGACACCAGTTCTTACTGTTAATCTGTTAATTGCCTGATAAGGTAAAGAAAGGGAACACAGCACACGCTTGCTAAGTATCGATGCACATACCTGAAAGAGTCCGTAGCTGACGCTTTGATTGGGCAGCTGCATTGACTTTGATGTACTGCGTCCGCTCTCCGATTCCACCAGACAGACCCCTGCGTGGGGAGGGGGAGCAGTCGTTAAGGCAAGATTCTCGCAAGAGGTAACTACATTACTTACAATTGGATAGATAGCTGCGCGGAAAGTCGTGACGCAACAGCTCCTTGGCCAGCTGGCAGCGTGTCAGCAGCTTGGACTGCGTCTCTGATAGCGATAGCAGCAGGATCAGGCTGAGGACAATCGCACTCGATGCTCTCAACTGCTCAGCCATTTGTTGTACGTGATGCATATGACAGGACTATTGACTGACTGACTGACCGACCGACTGACCGATTGACTGGATGGCTGATTGGTTGCCTGGACCACTTTAATCCTAAAGCGCTTCCGCAGCAACTGCCAAACTACGACTAAACACGCGTAGCTCCTGAATTCGGGGTTTTTAAAGCCTCGCACGCAAATTTCTTGTCTCTTCGCTTGCTAGAAAATCGCTCGTCACGCCACAGACGATTTGACATACATACGCTATATACATTTATATTTATCCGTTATATATATATACTCCGACATAATAATGATTATCTGCAGCATGCTAAAGATTGAATACCCTTGTGGTTAGTGCGACAATTTCGAATGCTGATCTAAAACATCTTGTTCCTGTTGAGCTAAATGTTTATTGAAAATGCAAACAAGGCTTTTTATATAAACAATATATTTAATATGTATTATTGTTATACTGTTAATAAATAATAATAATATGCCAATAAAAATCAGCTTAGTTTGAACAAAGATATGGTTGTAGAGTAGAGAAAATATGTTTTAAATATATACACAAATATATATTTAGACTAATCATATTGTTCAGATCAACAATAGTTGATTTAAATATAAACTATAATCATATTCAACCCAAACTACGATTAATTCGTACATCCAAAAACCTGTTCCAATTGTATTTGATATTAAAGTTATCTTTCTAAAAAGTATATACTTGTAAAAAGTATGTGTAGTCATACCTTAGACACAAGTAAATGCTTCAGAAAAATGCTGGATGTGCGAATAAATAGTGGGTTGGGTTGTATGCACCAATTTTCCTACAAAATTCAAGTACTTTCTGCTAGGGCATAACAAGAACATACATAAGTGACATGCATGCTCGTAGGTTCAATTAGTATGCTGGAGCAACGTCATAAGCAACATCAACAACAACAACAACAACAATAATACGATGTCAGAGAACATTTGTTATGGCGTTGCTTTCGCTTTCAGTTGCTATTGCCGTGGGTGAGCAGTGATGGTGTAAAAATTGGGAAATATCTATTCTGGCAATCGAATAACCTACTTGTCTATTTTTTTTTAGCTCTTTACAGAGTAAAAGATACAAAAGTATCTCACACTATAAATCGCAAGTCGTTGATTGTGTTAAGCGCTTAATTGGCAAATTGTCGTCTTGCACTTCAGTGCGAGTGCATCTGTAAATGTGTATTATACTATCTCTAGTTGTATCTGTATCTGAATCTGAATCTGATGCTATGTACATGTGTGTCAGAGTGTCAACGCTGCTTGACCTAAAAAACGCACAATTCAAATTCACTTGTGCCTTATGCAAATGCAATTCACACAAAAGTTTATCACTAAGCGTTTTATTTTTGTCAAAAAAGTTTCCATGAGTTCAACGTAATTTTTCCATTTCAGCTGCCTGCTGCTGGCTCTTTCACTGGTGGCGGCCAATCAGCTAAAGGACCTACTCGAGGACACCACCCCAAGGAGCACCACAGCGAGCACAACAACAAGCACTACAACAACAACAGCAGCAACCACAATAAGCGCCTATGTGATATCAGCTGCTGCTGTGCCCGCCTACAATGCAGCCACGACCATGTCCAAGCCCAAGTCCAAGTTGTCCAATGGCAAATATTTTAATAAGAGCGCACCCAAGAAGCGCAAGGCCGAGGAGGTCTCCTCCCTGCCCCTGCCCATCGATACGGATGGCCTGCTCGAGTGGAAGTGCCCCAACATTTCGGGTACTCGCAATGCGGAACTTGAATGCGGCTGCGATCTGCCACACACGCTACGTTGCAACATCGATTTGCATGGTCTTTTGGTGAGTTTTGGGTATGGGACTGGCAATGGGACATAGCTTTAAATGTACTTTAAAGGGTTGACATGAAACTGAGTAATCTTTAGTTTAAATATAGTTATTTAAGGATGGAGCACTTATAAACAGTATTTATATGGGTCGAAAATTAAGCAAGTTAAAGGAGACTACAGGGTTTCCTGCCTAAATGTGCAGTTCAGTTCTACAAACTTTTCGTTAAATTGGTTTACATTTTAGAAATTTAAATTCTTCTTTAAGTTGAAGCGTGCTTTAGATTAAGATTTATAAAAAAAAAACAATTCGGGCCTCTTAACAAAATTCGTTCCCCTTTACGAATAATTGTGTTTATTATAATTACCTCAGCTATAATATAATCATTATATTTGCCTTTTCCTAATACAAGCTGATTTACAAAAAATATAACTATTCTTCTGTATATAAATAGTCACTTCTGAGATAATTTCAGACAAATTTCATTCAATTATTTCAACAATCAATCATTTTTATCTTAAAAATAAGTTATTTTGCCTATTATTTTCTCACTAATAGACAGCTTAGATAGTTCCTATAGAATACTTTTAGTGATGTAGCACTTATTAGCACTTATTAGAACTAATCCATAATCAGGTTATTTCCATGAAATTTGAAAAGATTAACTCTTTATCTGCAGTTTAAGCTTATTTAACTTTCAACAACTTTAAGGCTTATTTTCGCTAGTTAAAATAATATTTATTTTTTAATTTTCAACAGTTATTGGCAGACAGATTGCGTAGCTCTCCATACTCCATCTCGCTGCTGGACTGCTCGCTGCGGAATGTCACCTTTCTGAGCGATGCAAAGATTTTTGATGGCATCTCGCTGCACGGCTTGGTCATCTCCTCGGGCGAGATCAAGCGCGTGCACAAGTCCGCTTTTCTGGGCATCAAGGGACCGTTGCAGGCGCTGGGTTTGCCTGGCAATGCGCTGTTGAGTGTGCCCTGGAATGCTCTGTCCACGCTGAGCTCGCTGGAGCGTTTGGATTTGGCGAATAACAAGATCAAGGCGCTGGGCACCTCTGACTTTGTGGCGTTGAATAATCTGGTGTATCTGGAGCTGAGCAACAATCAGATCTCGAGCATATCGCAGCGAACCTTTGGCAGTCTGCGAAAATTGGAGGTGCTCAAGCTGGGTGGTAACCGACTGGGTGACTACGCTCAGGGCCTGAAAGCGCTCAGTCTGTGCTTGAGCCTGCGGCAATTGGATCTTACAGCTAACAATTTGAATGGGCCGCTCAGCGAGCAGACGCTGCCAGGCTTGAGGAATCTTGAGAGCCTGAATCTCAATCGGAATATGATCAAGAGCATACAGAACAAGGCGTTGGCTAATTTCTCCCGGTTGGTGAGTCTCTCCCTGCGTCACAATCAGATCGATGTGCTGCAGGATCATGCCTTTTATGGCCTGGGCGCCCTCGACAGCCTCGATCTCAGCTACAATGGCATTGTGGCCATCTCCAGCGCATCGCTGCAGCATCTAACCCGCCTCACTGTGCTCGATTTGACGCACAACTTCCTGCGCGCCCTCACCTCGGATCTGATAGCACCGCTGCCTTCGTTGCGGGAGCTGCGTCTCGCCGGAAATGATATCTCCATTGTGGCCAGGAATGCCATGGATCGTGCCCAGGAGCTGCAAAGCCTGCAAATGCAGGATAATCCACTGTCCTGCGACTGCAGCATTCGACCCTTTGCCGAGTGGCTGCAGGTGTCCAAGCTGTCGTCCAGCCTGAGCGCATCCTGTGTGACGCCACCACGTCTGGAGGGTGCCCCCCTGCTGCAGGTGCCAGTGGAGACGCTCACCTGCGACATGGACAATGTGGAGAAGGATAATGCAAATATTATGGAGCACCTGGAAACGCTAGCGAAACCCAATCAGACCGCATCCCATGTCAAAGACTTGTCCGAGGAGGTGCGTTGTCCTGGCCAAAAACTAAATTCGATTGCATATTTATTTCATTTACTTTTTGATTAGATTATTCTTCATGAGCTACACTACTCGGCGGATTATGGCCTCATTCTGACCTGGCTGCTTAATCTCAGCAAAAAGGATTACATGTGCGATGCCATATTCGTCTATAAGGAGGAGAACATCAACGAAATACTCATTGATAACTCACCGGTGAGTGAAACTCTTGAAACTTGAAACTTAACTTTACCAAAACTCTTTTGCTTCCCCTACAGATCCATTGCGAGAGCAAGGTGGTCAATGGCCAGAACACTGTGAGTGTCATAGTGCCCGACAGCTCCTCACTGGACATCGGCGAAAGGTGTGTACTGTAACCATGTGTATATATCCAGCAGATACTTATGACTTTGTGCACTCCACAGCTATCGTTTCTGTTTGGTCATGGTGCAGGAGCAGAATCCCAAGGCTGATCTGAATATAGGCTGCTCGAACATAACGCAACTGCAGCTGAGCAGTCCTGGTGCGATGCCCGTGCCGCGGCAATATCAGCGTCGTCCTTACTACACGCCGCATGAGCTGGAGCCGGAACACGATACTGGCGAGGATTACCAGCTGAGCAAGCGACAATTCAGTAGCCAACAGCAGTTGCATCCAAACCAACAGGCGCCACCGAGGCTGCTGCACACCTATAATGTGATTGATTCACTCAATAAGAGCTTTCTGCCTGGCTTAGGTCTGGGCATACTGGTCACCTCGGTGGTTGTGCTGATTTGGGGCGCCACACGAATACGCCAGAATGTTGTCGTCAATAGGGGCGGTGAGGCAAGTCTCAGCAGCAACAGCAGCAGCATGCACCACACCAACATCAACAACAACAACAATAACAATAACAACGGCAGCGGCAACAGCAGGCCGGGTACTCCAACGGCAACCACTTGCTATGCTGCCTCAGATCACATAGCTCGGATGGCGGATGCAGAGAATGGGACGCGTTACCTCAAGCTGCAGGCAACGACGAGCCTGTGAATTAAACACAATCAACCAACCAATCAATTCAAACTTGTGATAGTACAAGCACTTGTACCCATATCTTTAGCTATATATATTTGCTTATAAGTATGAGCAGTAGTTAGGGTTCCTGCACTAATCCAAATACTTGGCCCAACACTAAACAAATTGTGCCATAAACTAACTGACAAAATGAACACTTAAAATTCAAATGGATTTACACAATTCCAAAGGAGCTTTCTTAGATATCCTTACAAGGAAATCCACGGCAGATTGTTTTATATAAATCGATCATTAAATAATATACTATAGATGACTGTTATTAAAGGGATTGCTTTTGTATTTACTCTCTGCTAATTTTATGAACTGAACTTCTGAATTTTAAATCTATATTGAAATATACTTTAAATATCTTTATTAAAAAATCCGTAGGAAATGGTTTATTAGAAATCTATCAATAAATGAAAATACTTAAATGAAAAAACTATTCATGACAATCATTAAGGGGATAACCCGCATTTTATTATAATTACTTAATTAATTCTACCGTCTACAAATGTTATGAACTGAACTTTTGAATATTAAATCAATAATTTTGTATCTATTATCTATTATCCGTTTCAATAGCTATACTACAATCTACTATCTATTCATTTGAATATACTCATTTTATCAGAATTTATAAAACGCCACTCAAAGAATACAATTTGTTAATAAATAGGTTTAATTATTTACGTCTACGTCGCATGTTAGCCCTTTTAGCACTAAGAAATTGTAAGTCATGACCCTAGGAATAAGGCTTTAATAATTTATTAACCATATACCAAGCACAAACAACAAATTGTAAGTAAGCAACAGCAACAAATAAATGTTGAAGCGATAATAAAACATACACAATGCATTCAACTTGAATTGTACTTAAGCTGATGTGGGTGGAGTGCATATTGAAAAAAGAGAAAAAAACCAGAATGTAAATGTATATTCGCCACGCCGAAGAAGAAATACCCTTACCGACCGTAGTCGAGTCGAAATCTAATAATTTACTCAACAATTTTTGAAAGCGAGCGTAATGGAATTTAAAATTTTATTTTTTGACCTTTGAAGTCTTCATTAAAAATGTTTGTTAACTTTAAAACTTGGGTGAATTCAGGTTCAGGTTCAATCGATTTGCCCACTCCCAAGTGGGCGTGGCAGACAAATACTAAGGCCTTGTCTAACTTTTACAGTGCAACGTAAAACTCAAACAAAAAAACCGGTCCCCCACTCACATAGAGTATAGACAATTGAAGCCTTATAGAAGGTCAGCGCGTCCATTTGGTATGCTATTTTTATATAATTTCTAAAGGGACACATAATTTTAAGTGGTCTATTAACATGACCCCTTTGTATGCATGTTATATGACGTCACAACACACGCAACTTTCGGCTAATTTAGACAATCAACTATGCAATGACCTCATAGTTGTGTTCCCAAAGGGTTTGTCGAAGCACGCTGATAAATTAGCATAAGGAAAAAACAGACAGCATAAAAAATAGGGGGAGTTGAGTGGGAATTAAAGACACGCCAGTCATGGTCTGTAGCTCATCCAGAAATCAAAGTTGGCGCTACTCAAATAGTGCAGCATTTCCATTAAACTGTGACCTCTTCTTGCCCGTGTTGTAGTTGCGGTCTATTTGTGTTGTGGTCATCGCTGATATGGCGACGCCATCGCCCTCATTTGCCAATGGCGGCAGGGTGTCCTCGCGCTGAATGTGTTTTATGTCAGTTTGCCGACAACAATGAGCACGACCAGAACGACGCTGGCCACTGGCAGGACGTGCTAGCATTTATCGATTTTCATTACAGACCCACAATTTATCTGTGTGTGCGTGTGTGCGTGTTAGCAAAAACTGCCCCATTTGTTAGCCACAACAGAAGCGTAGTTCTAGTCCGAAAACAGTGCCAGCTTCAGCTGGGCCGGACGTGGCCCGTGGGCCAATCCGCAAAACGGCTTGCAGATGAGCATGCTGGGATTTGTCTATTTGGTGCTCATAGTGGGCTGGATATTGATCGTGCTGTTTCTCAAATGCAAGAAATCGTTGTCAGCGCCATTTCGCTTTGGCGAGAATTACACGGATGCGATTGCGGAGAGGGGCGAGCGTCGTCCTTCGGTGAACGTGATCCAGTTGCAGAACGAGGATATTGAGCAGGAGGATCACTACATGAACAGTTTTCATCGACAGACGGATAATCTGCAGCGCTATTCGCATAGATCGACGCTCGAGGAGCGCACCATTGAGCGAACATATCCCACAGACGCGGTTATCAATCCCGCCTACACCCACGACGAGGACTATGTCATTAACGGTGAGTATTCGGCGCAACAATTAACCATTAATTGAAATTCTATTTTTTGTAGCACCTCCTCCATCGTATGAGGAGGTAATGCGTCAGCCGCAGGTTTATCCGCAGGTGCGGCACAATAACCATAAGATTAGCGATATAAACATCTGAGCTATACGACTGGTTCTAAGATACCATATATACATAATTATTGCCATCTTGTACATATGTAGTTTTGCTTGTCAGCTGTGATTTCTCAGATTTAAATACAACTATCCAGATTCAAATAATATTAACAAATTGGAAATTCAATTGCATATTTCATGTAGAGATTTATTTGTTGGGACAACGGGCAACCAAATCAATTCAATTGATTCCACAGATGCCGCAGCCCGCATTAGCAGTAACATTTAGAATTATACACATATAGAAAATGTACAAAATGATTTTACATATGATTACAAACAAACAATCAGTCAAGGTGTGTGCATGTGTGTGTGTTAAGTTGTAAATAAATAATTGGATGAAAGTGTGTGTGTGTGTGTGTCTGTGTGTAGTAAAAAGTAAACCGAGAAAACATATATAATAAAAAAACAAACAAAATCAGCATACAAATAGTGTATAACATGTGTGCATGTGTTCGTGTGCGCGTACTGTAAAAATATATATATATTTGTATATATATAAATGTTGGCATTTGGCTAAATTAAGTCACTAAATTCGATACACATTTACAATCAATCATATGCAGCAGGACATGTGCCATGGCTCAAAATATACACAGTTTTAATGACTTGAAGTTAAGTTGAGTTCCGTTTTTCTCTTTCTTTTTCTATTGGCCCTAATTATTAATATTAATTGTTTTTGGCCATTTTCTGGGTCACATATATTTATATATATTATTTATGTCAGCACTTTCTGCACGCTGTGCATCTGTATGAACGCCTCTAGCTGCTTGGGTATCAGATCTCTAAAGCTGATCTTGTTTGTGGCTATCGAGCGTGCTGCCAGGCATTTCAAACTGGTGTGCGCATTCTGATGTCCGTGCAGCACGTTGGCCAAGTTAGCTACAAGAAAAGTTCAAAAGTTTTTAAGTACAAATACATATATGTAATGATAATTATAGGAGCTTACCCTGCTTGCAGGCTACAGCTGCCGTTTGACCCGCTGCATTCACCGCATCCAAGTGAGCGCCCGCCTCCACAAATAGCTGCAAAATGCGCGTCATTTCGCCCTGGCGATCCTGTGTGCTATTGATCTTGGTAACCAGTATATGCAGCGGTGTATTCCTTGCAGCATCCACAGCAACAACAGAAGCGCCACAGTGCACCAGCACCAAAGCGGTCGCATAGCAGGGAAATCTAACAAAACACAATTAATTAGAGACGATTCCTTTCAAACTGTTTAAAAACACCGTCTCACTTGCACATTTCGTTTGTGTAGAACTCATCTACAGGCGTCACTCCGTTGACGGCTAGATGTAACAACGTTTGGCCATCCTGGAGGCGGGTATCGTGCTTGATGAACTTGCGCACTGTGAGGAACAGTTGCTGTATCTGCTCCTCATTGATCTCCTGATCCTTTCGGCGACGCGCCAGCTGAGTGACTATTTTAATTAAATACAACGCTGTGATGCAGTTTTGGTTGTTCTGATCTTGCAGCAAACTGGCGCAGGTATTTGGCTTATCATTCATCATTTTGAGCTTGTTATTCTCTATCTCCTGCTGGCACTTCTCCAACACGGGCAAAACATGATCCAACGTTAACCGGTGATTCTCGACGCGTAATATTTGCGCAAAGAGCTGAGCAAAACGTAGCAAATCTCGCTCCACGGACACCTGTGCAAATAGTTTAATCAGGGATTATTGGCAATCAGTTGTTTCTTCAGTTAACTCACATTGTTGCGCATGCGCAGATCGATGGCATAGTTCCACAGCACTTGGCACTGCTCGAACCGACCCTGATCCGCCATGACTGCGCCGCGATAAACTATGGCCTGCGGCAGCTCTGGATTATTTTTGCCCAGTACACGCTCCCGTATGGCCAGCGATTCCATGTGTATGGAGTGATGGTTCAACTTGATGGCATTCAGCTCGGGCAGATTTTCCGTTTCGAACCAGCTGTCGTAGGCGGGCACCGGCTGCTGCACCTTCTTGCGCACCACATGCCTCGCATCGCTGTAGCGCATTTCCATGGCACGCAGCAGATAGCTGTAGGCGCGATTCACATCGTATTTGATCTTATCGTTGGCATACGTGGCGCCCAGCAGCTCCAGTGCGGTGATCTGTTCCTCCTTGCTCATCAGGCCCGGACGCTGAATGAATGCCTCGACGACATCCTCGTGCAACCGTTCGGCAGCCTGCAGTGCCGGCGATATACCCGCCTCATTATTCTGCAACGTTGCGTCATGATCAAGCAGGGCCGTGACTACCTCCAAATGACCACTCTCGGCGGCATAGTGCAGCGCCGTTGCACCACACAGCGCCTGATCATTGGGATGGGAGCCGTTCTGCAGCAGCGTATTCACGACCAGATGATGACCCTTGTACGCGGCGATCATTAACGTGTTATTGTTAAACAAATTGGTTGCATTCACATCAGCGCCATGCTCGATCAGAAACTCCACAATGTCCAAGCGACCTGAAACCGAGATCCAAATTGAAATACAGTTGCGCTATTTACAATACAATACTCACCTTCATAGCAGGCGGCGCGCAGTGGAGATGATTGCGCCTTCGTGTTGTGATTTATCGCAGCGCCTGCCTGCACCAGCATCTTGACAATCTGCAGATGACCCATGCCAGCGGCTACCCACAGCGCTGTCGCCCCATACACGACAAGGCCATCAAAGATGACATTGCACTCCCTTTCCAGATCCACATCGTAGTGCGAGAGCAGCGTCTTCACAAACGTCACATTGCCCGACATTGCGGCCATGGTGAGCGGCGTCAGCGATTGGCCATCGGGCTGATCAAAGTTCTGTGGAAGGAGAGAGGACAATGATTATTGAGAAATAGTTTTCATTTTTTTATTAATTATATACATATGTATATATGTATGTTTATGTGCAGTATTTATTCTGATAGTTATACAGAAAAAATTGACATTGGCTGCAATGGTTGAAAATAATAAGAAGGATTCTAAATCGCTGAAGATTATTATTAAATTAATTCTTTGTATTCAGATTCATTAATTAGTTGATTGTTTCATTGATTGTTTGTTGTTATAATTAAACTTTGAAATATATCAAATATTTTATATAGATCTTATTGGAAATAGTTTCATTTGTTCAACTTTTACGTTTGTATTCAGCCCCTCGATTGCCACTATATTGGTTGTTCACTGTATTTTATTTTGTTTTTCTCGTTGTTTATATGTATGCTTTTGAGGTGCGTGCGCATCTTTTTCATCATTTCACAGTCAAGGCTGGCCGAAAATAGTGCGTTGAGCGCATTTACAGCATAAATTTGTTTTTTCTTTTTTTTGCTTTTGGTTTTTTTTTTTGGGAAAAACGTGCATTGAAAATTTGCCTGAAACTGTTTACACAGAGCCGATTCCCTTTGTTTGTAGTGCATTGGATTTCTTTTGGCACGACATATGTAAATATTACAACAAACTGCAAGCTCTTTGTCTTGTCTAGATATATATAAATATATATATGTTATGTATACGTATACATATGTACAAGAAAAGATCCAGGCGTATCCAAAGTCCAAGGCAAGCAGTAGACACTTTCAGGGGCTGACCCCTTAAACGCAGCTATTGCGTTTTGGCTTTAAATGGCTGCTGGCTGCTCAACAAAAATAGCAAGTGGGTCAAGAAACTGACAGACAGACCATTGTCGGAGACTCACCGCCGGATAGGTTATATAGTTGGTTAGCGGCAATGAGTCGCTAGCGCCGCGCCAGAAGCTCGCTCCTGGCCAGGCGGACTCGTACCAGCGTTTGCGTGTGCTGCAAAAAATGCGAGAAGGATTCCAGATTACTTTTGAAAGGATTCAGTTGTTGACTGAATATGCACGCTTTTTACCGATATAATTCCGCGTGCATTGCTCCTGGCTGGCTAGCAATAATAATAACGATTAACTGGAGCCGTGTGGCAAAGGACGCAGCTGCAGGCTCAATTCCTGCACGGCAGTCCCGAAAAATTCGATAAAACTTCGTGAGCTCAACGAACACACCACAAGTCCTGCGCCCAACCCCATGTTTGCATATGGCTCGCACATCTGGGGGTTGATATGGAAAAAGGACACAGTGTGCAACTCAGGCGAGGGTAACCAGCACAGCTGATGAAAGAGCGAAAGTCGGAGAGAGCAGCTTGCTCTCTCAGAGCGGGGGGTGGGGAGTTTGTTTACACCTTTGCCAGCTGTTCGTTCACATTCCATTCAAATACTCAGAAATTTGCTATTTAATATTGAGTGGGGAATCGATTACAGTGGAAAATAACTGTTACTTTTTTTTCTATTGCAGTGGCTGTTATGCAACATGCATGTTACGTAACCGTTGACATTTCCGAGAATAATAACATACATTATCTGTGGGTATCTCGGTTAATATGCCAACCAGCAATAATCTATAATATTCATTCAAATGTGTGATAAGCCAAATAAATAAAATGTGCAAAATAATAATATTCCTCTCGTCTTGGTCTTAAAATTAACAATAATTTAATATAAGATTCAGACAGATGCAATCAGTTGAAAATATATGTGTTAGCAAGGGTATTTCAACTTCGACAAGGTTATGGTTTGTTAGCAGCTAAGTCTTATTGTCTTTGTGGCATGCCACACTTTTCTACGCGTCTCATAAATAGGCAAATGATTAAACAACGCGCATTTCAGGAACAAAACTGCAAAAACTGAATGCTGGCATTGGGCCAAGTTCGTGTCCAGAAAGAGATCTCGCACATATGTGCGAATGAGTAATTAGTTAAAGATGGTGCTGACTGCGTCTGCAATCTCTAATTTGAGATGACTTGGCATATTTTGACCGTCATTTGAATACATTGAAAACATTGTAGTAAATATTGCCTATATCAAAATCGCCATATCAAAATTAATAGCGAAATTCACAAAGTTTACTGCAGCTGGCCGTATATGTATATAAATAATACGCAGTCATTATGTGTGGGTACAGTGATCACTCGTAAATAACAAATAGGTTGACAATGACAATTGGACAATAACAATTCATATGTTTGGTTGTGTCACTTATCGAGTGCTCACTGTATTATAGAGAGGTTTGCGCTCATTTTGGTCGCCCAGATGAGGCGATAAACAAAGAGCCGACAAGAAGCACAAGCAGCAATAGCAACAACAACTACAACAACAACAACACAATTCGATTTTACATATCAAAACAATACCTAAATATAGGTGGAAATTTCATTAATGACGCAGTTGAGTTAATTTCGTTCATTACGCAAAAAACGAATTACAAACAAACTTAACAACTTACCGTGTTGACCAAATGCGTTTGCACTTTCGTCGAGCTGATCGTGTTTAGGGCCTCAACGAATCTCATCATTTGGCTGCTGCGCGCTGCCAAATAGAGGGTGTTCAACTGGGAATAGGGGACACGGGGTTCGCCGGGGAAACGGGCGCGGAGATCTTCTTCGATCTCGACGAGCATTCCGTGCGCCATGTTGAAGTAGCCAAAATCGAGGGAATCGTCGTAGATCGATGTGTCCGCCGCACGCTCCTCATCCGGATCCACTTCCATATTTTCAAGCAGCAGCGCCAACTGACGCAGCGTGCAAAAGCTAAGTTGGCTGCTTATTTTTCCGAATTTGTTGATCACACGATGAGGAAAAAAGAGCACTTTTCTTATTTTTATTTTTAACACGAGCACACTTGTCCGCAACGAAAATGTTACTGTAAACTGTTATGGTGGATTAACAGCTTAACAGCTTAACATCCAACAGATACAGCTCTGGGTGCATGCACTGAGCAGAGCCTTAACAGAACAGCTGTCGCTTAACACAGATTGCCACCACCCTGTTGTTGCTGGTCAGTGTGACCACATTTTAAATGAAAATACGTTACGATTTCGTGTTTAATTTAATTTTTGAAAAACTTATACAAATATTTTGTGGTTGTGTTTGAAATACAGAATTATTTATGTAAATGGGGTAATGAGTGTACGAGTGTGTTCAGCTATCAGCTATAGTTTCTCCCCATCTCTCTTATTCGTAATTATTTTAAGATATTTGGGTGAATTACAATTGTTATTTTTTGACTTCAGCTAAGCTATAGTTTCTTTTCTTCTGCAAATTTACATGGTTTGTGATTGTTGCATGGTTTTAAGCGAGATTATTCTACATATATTTAACATTGGGTAACCTATATTCTTCTTTTCTGTGTATTTTCCCAAGGTATACCCAATGTTGTTCCAATCGAAGCGTTTTTTGGTTAATATTTTTCCAAGCGTTGTTGCACATGATTTGCTGGAAAACTATACCTGAACGCAACGATATTTTATGGCATATTTAATTACAGTCTTTTTAACGGCCGATTTCTTCCGCGTCGGAATTCCCATACAATATGCAGTTTTGGGTGAACGTGTTTCTTCGGCATTAGTAGTGGTTCAAGCAGTAGTAGCTCCATTAAATATTATTTATCATAATTGCGATTATTTTATCATACTTGATTTGCACAATTTTCTTGCAATTAGTTTTTTTTTTCTAGCGAATCGATTAAATTTCATATAGCCTGTATACATTTAACACGAGATTACTTGAATTTCCAATTGACTAAAATGTGCCATACAAAAAAAAAAAATACTGCAAATTTACGATAAATCTTGAAATTTTGACTATAAAATTTGTTTCAAATCTGTGGCGTTCTTTAAAAGGAAAATAGTTTTTTAAATGTTGTTCGATATTTGTCTGCCTCTTCTTTGCCTTTTTCCTTTTCCTTTTTTTTAAACCAAAGATTTTTTTGATTTGCTTTTTTGTGGCTGCAGAAATGGAAAATACAATTATAACAAATAATCAAGCATGATCTCAATGTTTGTTTTTATAAAAAATTCAATAAAATAATACAAAGCAAAGATTTGCAATTAATAAAAGTAAGCAACATAAATTCATACAAATTCATTCTAGAAAGCGCCAAGTTAAGCTATATATATTATATATATACTACTTTTTCTACTAAGCGGTTGGGGTTAAAATGCAAGTTTAAAAAGCAAATATCAAATGGCAAAATTCATTTACTTGACTGCGCCACCTTCCAGCTCCCCCCTCTAGTTGGTGGCCGCAATGGGTATCTGCTGTTGGGTGCCGGACACCGAAATGCCAGTCGAATCGGACTCGGTGATCTTCACCTCGCTGTTGTTGTTAAGGCTGGCACGCGAGTTGCGCTTGCGCTGTGGCCTACTGCCGTTCCTAAGGGATGATGGCGGTGTCTTTGTGGTTGAGTCGGGCACAGAGGACACACTTTGCGATTTGTCGCCACCGGCGCCGATCTCATCGCCAGCTCCAGACTTGTGTTTCAGCGAGTTGCGCTTATGGCGCCGACGAATGGTGCCCGGCTTGACGATCGGCTTGATCGTCGTCTTGTTGGGATCGAAGAAGCTGTCGAGCAGTCCGACCAGTTCACACTTATCCTCCGCCTTCAGGCTGTCAATGCCCTGGAGTGCGGCATGAAGTCCCTCGCTATGCTTATCGGTCCAAATATCCCTAAACGTGGTCAAATCGAAGCCGTTCTCGGCGAGCACAATGCGAAACTTGACAGCGCGCACGCGATGATAGAGCGTTGTCTTGAAATAGTGCAAGAAGACCGGACGGAACGAGTTCTGTCGCTCCAAATGGACATTCTGGGTGTCCAGCTCATCAACATCGGAGCTGATGGCCTCGGTGTATGGTTTGAGTGCATTAAATAGATTGCCTGAATCATCGGATGATTCGGGCACGCAGCTATCCATTAAATTGCTCAGCTTCAGCGCCACATTGAAGGCGAGCTTGGCACGAACGCTGGCACTGCCATCGAAATCACCTCGATCCCTCTGGAGTCGATTCTTTATAGCGCCATTGCTGCTGCTGCTGCTGATGCAATTACTATCTGGCTTGAGGGCATTCTCTTCCTTGGCTCTGGAGAGGAGCTTCGAGAGGCTGCGTAGACTGTGGTGCTTCGTGTCGGCCATCGAGGACTTGGCCAGCTTGAAGCTGTTCACAAACGACTTGACCGTCTTGCTGAATCTCTCGAGCATGCCATATTTAACCAGCGATTGCAGTATCATATATGGAATGAATTTACGCTCCTCATGATAGAGCAGAACAATGCCATTTGCATTGGGATTCTTTAATTTCAACTGATCCAGCCAGTCGAGGAAGTCCTTGAGCGCAGCAACTTCCGATTTCGATTTAATTATCTGCGAAATTAATTAAAATAAAATGGAAATAGCAAATGCATTCAGCAATTGGTAATTGAGAATTGAACAGTAAGCTGCACTCACCTTGTAGGTCTGCATCGACTTCAGCATACGGAAAAATCCGATCGAAATAACCCGAACTTGATGACGCTGGCGAGCAGCGGGGTTCAGATTCATATACGGCATAATGTACTGCTCAAAATGATCGGTTGGGGTGTAAGCAGCCAATTGAACAATCTGCCCCCATTAAAAAAAAGTGAGGTTAAACTTAGCAGCAAGAGTTCATTAAACCGGAAGAAAAAAACAAAAAGAAAATGCATACCTCATCAATTAGACGGCGCCCAGTTGTGTCAATGTCAACGGCAACCAGGATATAGTCACCTTTGGGTAGCTCATCTTTTATGGCCACGCCCGACACAGCCGTGGACTGATCCGCGGCAGCGAAATCCACTTTATTGGCAACCATTTTGCTATTTTGGACCTAAGAAAATATATTATAATATATTTATTATTTATAATATAATTAAATCAGAATTTATAATAAAAACTAAAACGAACACAAAGCTCACTTCGATTTATACCAGTAAAAAAAAAAAATTAAGAATATCTTCCAGAAGAAATTGTGACCCGCAAGGAACGAATATTGCAACTGAACTGCGAATGGCGGTCAACAATTTATGGGTTAAGCACTAAGCTAACGGAATAATTCCAGGACAGTTTTCGCTCAACGCCATTTTTTTTAACGAAATTTCTTTTGCACACGCGCACACATACACTCACACGAATGAACACATGCAAGTCATTTTCTCTCACCTTTTTTACACTTTCCGTTCGATTTTCGATTCGATGGTATTTTTCGCTTTTTACCAACTTTTTCCTTTCTTTTTCAAAAGGGTAAAAAGACGAGATTTGCCTCCGTGCGACGAGCGTTCACAAATAAGAAACAATTCGTAAGACTAACAAAAACGAAATGAGCCAAACCCTAATTGAATCAGGCTATGAGCAGGAATTTTGAAATCAAAGCCTACTACAAATAATTTTGTTTGCCAAGTACAATGGGATGCGCAGCCTACTTAGTGAACGCTTACTGACTGTGTCCAGACGATAGCTTTTGTCCTCCTTACATTTGTATGTTACTTAACGTTTAAATTGAAATCGATTAACTGAACTGAACTATCCGCAACTTCCACTTACACTTAACTGGTAGTCCACTGTAAAGATAATTGGTCGTGAGGCGAAAGAAACCGGCGCACCGATTACATGTGCAGCTTTCCTAAGCCCAAAGCGCACGAGCGAAGAGTGCGAACACTGATAAGCTCTACAGTGTTGACAAATGTACGACAGTATTGCGAATAATAAATAACACAACGAATGTGATTTGAAATTCTGAAATGTCGAATGAATTTTAGTGCAACTGTTTACTTAAAATACGATCACGAAAACCGTTGCGAAAAGCGATTAGAGCTAAAAGACTTACTCTGCCAGGGCTGCATAAAACTGTGTTGTACCGCATACATAGTAAAATCATCTTAAACATATGAAAAGTTAAATAAAGTAACTTTCAGCCATTTGAGCAATTTAGTTATTTAAACATTTTCATAAAGCGCGAGAGAGACACTTTGTTGTGACGTCACAGACTGACAAGAGAAATAATAGACATGCGCATTGAGTTACCTGGTGAAAGTAATGAAACATGAAAACTGCGTGTGCAGCCCTGCGGATATCAAAACAAAAAACAGCTGTTTATAAATGAACCGTTCATTCTGCTGCGTTGTAAATTTAATGAATATTGAAAAATACTTAATCAAAGCGTAAAATCAAAGTTCAATACAATACAGCAAACCACAGGAATATTATGCTGCATTGCACAAGCATACAAATAGAAAGTAGAACAACAGCAAGAACACCAACGCACCACAGACAAACGAGGAGCACAGTTCGACACAAATCGTAAAAGATAAAAAAAAAACACTGGCGCGATAAGAGCACCCCAATCAAACGTGCCAAACAGTAAACACCCATAAGCACACACACACACACACCCACACACACTCATACATACAGATACGTACGGGAATAATTAGAGCAGCAACAAAAGGCTAAATATGTTGTCTTACATTAAGCGCAAACTCTCTGAATCGGACAGCGGCGCGACAGGCAGCAATAGCAACAATAGCAACACAACAGCCGCTGAGCTGGTGCGGAAAACAAGCGAAATGTCATTGGATAATGGTATAATTGCATACGGGGAGGATGCATTGCTGCACGAGCTGGGCTATCGCAATGCCACCGACCTGCAAGAGACCATTTACGGTGAGAGTGTAATGCGTATTTTATTTAAAATCAATTATATAATTGACATTTATTATATGCTAATGCTGACAGATCTGTTGCGCACCATACGTGATCCGGAGAAGCCCTGCACTTTGGAGGATTTGAATGTCATATATGAGGATGGCATATTTGTAATGCCGCCAACACGCTCAAATGTTTCGGTGGTAAGACAGCAACGTTAATTGAACTCGGCACATAAATTGTAAATGGTCAAACTTTCAGGTGCGCATCGAATTCAATCCCACAGTGCCGCACTGCTCGCTGGCCACACTGATTGGTCTATGCATACGGATTAAGGTGGAGCGCGGCTTGCCTCACAACATCAAGCTGGACATTTACATAAAGAAGGGCGCACACCAAACTGAGGAGGAGAGTGAGTTGACTCTCCTGATGCATAAATGAATACCAATTTAAAAATATAATTTCAACTGTCTTCCAGTCAATAAACAAATTAATGACAAGGAACGCATTGCAGCCGCTATGGAGAACCCAAATCTGTGTGAGCTGGTCGAAAATTGCATTAAGGATGAGGAATAAAAGTCTTGCGCCCCTTCTAGTGTATATAATGGTTTAACTCAGCCTAGTTGTAAGTGTACCAAGTGCGTGTAGTCTCTGATGTACGATGTATCTAGTTAGTATTAAAGTTTTAAGATTTGTTAAATGTCGAATTTGTTAAGTAATACTTGGCAAGAAGAATAAGAATTGTGTAAACGTGGCGAACATCAAAAGTGTTTTTTTTTTTTATTGAGCGAATTATATTAATTAATATATCATACTCAAATACTAAATCAATACACTTGTGTTATTCATACATATGCTAGATTTATAGTGTAATTTTTAGTTGCCTTGATTTTGTGATAGTCTGTTGATAATGCGGCACGTAAAGCTTCACTATCTGTGTTACTAGTACAATGGAAAGAAGCCAAAAGTTGTTAATCAGTTAAGCAGCCTTACGAACCGTGTGCATACCATTATCTCTGTTGAATTTCGTGAATGAATTGGCAGCCATTTTGACACCCACTTCTTGACTATGGCAGCCATAACGTGACTAACAATGAGTTATCAGTGAATTCGATGATGTCGTTTGTTGACATTATATTTTGTTATGGCTTTTGCACTCTTCATATGCGTATTTGCAAATGTCAATTAGTAGCGATTTAAAGTATGTTCTCGTAATATCCAAGACAAGACTTGGCAATTTTCAGTGATAACATAAAAGAAAATGACGCGATTGCTCTTACGTACAATGGCAATGTTCCTTGTCGAGCAATTAAAACCAGATGCTGCTTGAACTTTCTGCAGTGCCAGCAGGAGATGTGGCCAATATTCTAGATATTGCGAGCACGAAAATAACGCAAAGCAGAAGCAGATGGGTAAGAAGGAAAAACAGTTGATAATAAAAGGCAAACGCTGGCAAAAGCATATTGCGAATATTACGCTAATTGGAGCCGGCAATCAAAGTGGACACCGTGTCTCAGGCACGTGTCGTCCCCAAGGGATATAGCACAAAAAAAAAAAAAAAATTTATAAAAAACTGCCGCCAGGAAAATGTCGTTTTGCCATCATCAACGTTGCTTGGGCCAAAGGCTGCGTGATAAAATTGTTAAGCTCCACCCACCAAATTGACCTTCACCTGTGTCCAATATCCGTTGAAAAGTCTCCGAAAGAAGGAACACTAGTTTAAGAATTTTAATTGAATGGTTACCTTGGGCACAAGCGATGCGACTTATGAAGTTATCATATCCCTAACTATATTATATATATATATATATATATATATAGTAAAATCTTTGCTCTGTCAAACGGCTGCAAGTAAGTTTTTTTCCAGAGAAAACTGGCTGCTGGCAGCGGGATAAAAGACGCTGCACTGATTGCGACCACTGCGACTTCCTTCCGATATGTAATGCTGTAAAATTGTGGGCCATTATTATGATTTCCGTGGTTGAATCTGCGCACAAATTGCACATGCACATATAGACACATGCAAAGCCGAAAAGCAGCACCATTGTACATTTACTTAAAAATTAACATTGGATTTCAGTCAGTGCTCATATTTCATTAAGCCACCTTCAGTGTGGTACATACTTTTTCGAGACAGTGTATTAACTACGGTTTACGGTTTGTCACGTTAAATAAATATTTATTTAAATATAAATAAATAGTTTTAATGATGTAATTACTGTACACTGAGCTTTCTGTTTCGAATCCCAGGAATCAAGTATTATTAAAATGGGATTATTTTCTTTCATATAATTTTTCATTATAATAATTTCTTTTCCTTAAAATATTTTAAAATCGAGTCATACTAATCAATATAATCTTGAATTTTTGAACTTTGAGAATATTTATTTATTATTTATTATTTGTGAAACATAACCATGCCTTTGCAGATTTCATTTGATTGTTAAAAGAAATATTTGTTTCTTAAGATATTTTAAATTAAACTCATACTTTTCAATAAAATGAATTATTTTCATATGGGAATATTTATTCAGAGCTTGTTTTCTGTACACGATTTAAAAAATAATCATGTCTTATATGGGATTATTTTAATATTAAATTAATATCTTTTTAAAGGCAATATTTATTTATATATTAGTCTATGCTCGTTTACGCTTTCCAAAGCAACTTCTGCTAATTTCGTGTAGGGTATTCAATAATCATATTATTCAGCTTGCTGTAGATATATCTCTCAACAGTTATTACCGGCCTTTTGCTGTCGCGTAGCTACTTACATGCACAACTCTGGTTGTTGTTTTTGGGTGTGCCCATCTGGCGCTTAAGACCGGAAGTAACACTTGATGGTGTTGTTGCTGACTTGCTTACGCTGCGTATGCGCATTATGCGAAACCAACGGAAAGTGGCGGACTGCAGCTGCTGCTGTCGTGGTGACCAGTGGATGACGGCCCCAAAAACTGTCCACAGCTGCCAAAAGGCAACAACAATAGGGACAACGACAACGACAACTTACGCATCAGCAAAAGTCGTGACCAGGACCAGCACCAGGACCCGAAGCCGAAACAGGAGCAGGAGCAGGAGCAGCCCTTTTATTGTTTGCACTGCACTTAATTTCTGTTGCACTCGGCTTGCCATTTATTTTGCACGTAAAATGTGCCAACGTTATGAAAGCAGACCCCAAGTTGAGTTTGGTTAAGGCAGATGGGCACGGGACAGGGATGGGGCTGGAGCTGGGGCTGGGGCTGAGCTGCCATGCGGAAGTGGTCGCGTGCATCGCATCCTGTCAGCAATTATGGCCCCAGAAGCAGGGCTAGCGGCAGTGGCGGCTACAACAATTACAGTTACAGCTGTTAACGTTGGCTAAGCTGTTGTTGTTGTCGCTGCTGCTGCAGTCAGCGCTGTGTTGTAAGCCATTTTAATTGCTTGTCTCTTTTTAATTTGCAGCTCTTTTGTTACTGTAGCCGTTGCATATACAGATGAATATATATATATATACAGTTTATAGATGTGTGTATGTGCTCCCGTTCTTTATTATTCATGCTCGTGTTTCCTGCACACACACACACACACGTACATTTACATATTTACACATATATACTTATGTAAGCGCACTTATGCAGATATCTGTGTGTTGACTGCGACTTTTCTTAACCTGACTTTTGCCCTGCTGACATTAAATTGGCCCTGCAACGCTGTGAGCAGGTCGGCGCTCTTTGGACCCGGTCTCCGTATCGTACCGGCGTTTAAGTGTTGCTGCCGCCCATTTGGTGCAGCTAACGAACTAATGTCGAATGCACATCAAGTGCCATTTGAGCTTCCGTCGCCAACCCCAACCCCATCCCCGTTAGCACTCATTGACCAGGACAAAACAAGAAGATGTTTGTTAGTGCAATTAACAAAGTAACGTTTGCTCCACAATGGCCTATGCTCTGAGTATGCAGTATGCACCGTGGATGGCAACCGCCTCTCTGTCTGGCTCTGTATGTGTGTGTGTGTGTGTGTGTGTGCATCCTTAGCTGCTAATCGATAATAAAACTGCAGCAAGCATTGCTTGCAAGCAAATAATTAAAACACAAACTTCAATGAAATTGCATACACAAACACATTGAGGATATTTGGGCAGAGTTCAGAGAGAGAACAATGTTGATTCAACATTTAAACGTCATGATCAATTAGGAAGGTCAGCACTTCCACTGAATTTACATTTGTGCTCGATTTAATGAGGACTTCTAAGTTGATTTACCATAACAAATTAAATCGAATAAGATTTTGCCTATGTTGTGAATGTAGTTTCTTTAATCTTGCATCTTTAAGTTACAACTAATAAAAAAGTAAATATTTGTCCTACTCTTGCATATACTAAATTATTTACGAGGTTAATAATCCCCTTATTTAGTATTAATAATTGTTGAAAACAGGCCCTAGTCAAATGAATACGGTAAATTTAACACTCTCTGCCATCATTTAAAATCGCAATTGAAATTCAAGGTGATAATCATTTTGTATCATTTTGACAGTTGCAGCTGCAGATTGACAATAAAATGCAAATATAATCAAAAATTGTACATACATTTAAATATTATATAATGATGGACTAACTTGCTTGCTCGGCTGCTAAATTGTTTAATTTAAATTCATGTAGAGAGAAAGTTGCGGGGAGTGGAGCGGAGACTGTGCTTCTATTTGGTTTTAATAATTGATTGTAGGGAAAGTGCAACCGACTGTTTGTGGGCGGTGTTCCGCAAAATGTGGCATTGTCTAAGTGCCGGCTAAATAAAATTATTTAAATATGCAAAACACTACTAAAACACGCATTATTGCGGCATTCTGGAAATTACTTATGCAACAATTCCGTATTATATAATAAACACAGCGAGAGCTCGACAACTTATTTACTACCCGAGCGAGTCCGGCCAGCGCTCAAAGTTCCGCGCCCAAATTCATTTTGCCTCTGATTTTGAGGGCACTCTGCCTTATATGAATACCCTTGCCAAAAGTTGTCGAACTGCACCATAAGTTTTGCCTTGGTCTTTGGAATATATTCATTGTGTTCTAAATATCAACTAAATTAAACAAATTAATAAATAAATTAAAGTTGTATAAATTTATCGCTCTATTTACTATATAAATAATAATAATGTATATAATATAATTAGAATGTTGTACTTTATGTAGAGTATATAGAGCATAGAATATCCTGCTACGCCATCGAAATAATTGTATTCATGCTATATATGTTTTTTTTTGTATCCACTGACCGCAGTCCAAATAAATTAAATCATGAAATAATAAACAGAATTAGGTGCAAATTGTTGTGTGCGGTTTTATTTTATTTCGTTTTGAGTTTTTCACGGCTGCTGCTGCTGCTATTCGCTGCTAGTGTTAAACCAATTTGTCGAGCTGCTCCCAATTTTGGACGAGCCAACAGAACAAATTTAAATGGCAAACTGTCAGAAACATTTAATTGCTGTTCCAATTGAAAGCAAAATTGTTGCAGAATTTTAATGGGTAATTGGAAACTTTAGTTCGAGTGCTTTTTCTGCATGCCTCGCAGATAATTATAAATTAATAATTAACTGCCAAAAACTATAGTAAAACATCATAAATAACTGACTGAAACAACACACACACACATATACACCCACACAGACAATTAACCAAATAAAGTTTAAAAAAATACAAATTTATAAACATCATGACTGACAAAAAACTAGGCTGTGCAGTAATCTACTTGGAAATGTATCTATGTATCTTTATCTGTATC